CATTGGCAGGCGACACAATGACACTATGGACACGGTCCGTGTCACTAGTTAAAATTGCTTATTTCTCTGGATTTAAACATTCTTCGAAACATTTGGGATAATATAAGTACACAAGTCAGCAAAATATATAACAGTTCTAGTGGTTTTTGGATATTTTAATGAAAAAAAAACGTACATATTGTGCCTTTAAGGCTGAAATAACAACTGCCCATTTTCACTCATTACAGTGTAGGGGAGGGACGTGTTCCCCTAACGATGGGTCATTCCAATCCCTTATAAGGAAATTTGCTGTTCTTTTCCATGCAAGCAAACATATCCCAAATTTATGAGACAAAAACGTACGATAACATGCTATGTTGCTATAGAAAACGTCATATTTATACATATTTATAAAAAGGCATCGACAGCTCAACTTTTTAGTTAAACTTCGTTAACTATTTTAATTAAGTTTAATTAGGTTTTCAAACACATCATTTAACTCAGCAAATGCAAATAAATAAAAAGTAACTAAATAAAAAATAACCTCTTGAGGGGAAAACGTGAAGACTTACCCTTAAAGATGACTGCTGCAATAGGATCTGGAATTCCAAGTGTCTTTTTAGGAATTCCTTTGGCGGATTCAACAACCACCTTCAACATGTTGCCAAATGTTGTGAATTACTGTTGCACAGAAGACGTCGACCTAATAGATACATTTCATCATCAAGAGCAGAAACATTGACCATCAGAGAGGGAAGTGCCAGTCGCAGAGATGAGAAGCGCTGAATGAGAGGAGGGACCATGAGTCTGCGCAGCCACAGGAACCAAAGACAACTTTTTTCCTTTTATATTGAACGTTAAACAGATCTTTCACTATTATTTTAATTTGGATGCTTAGAATTAATGTATAGCCTGTTTGCTTTGAGAAACTAGAGTCATTTTTGGTAAAGCAAAGTTAATGTAGATCTGGTGATGATGTGGCTCTCGGGGTGAGAAACCCCGCCAACTGGATTTAGCAGATCCGAGGAAAAAATAAATGCATAAGAGCGAAGTGTAATCAACAGTTCCTACACTGAAGTGAATCATTTCTTATGCGCTGGTCTGTTTCTACATTAACACGCAGCAAACACACGCAATTATTTGAATAATAATTTACCTGTACTAAGGCTCCACCGTGTGGCGGGAGATTAATTACATAGATTCATTTACATTTATGAGACTTATTTATCAAAAGCGATTTATAAGTGGAGAAAAACAAACATCATGCCTGCTAGCTATGCAACAACAACAACAAACGTTTACTATGTATCATAGTTTACTATCATAGGCATATGTTTCATTTGTGTTTTCAAACGTGTCATCAAACACAAAAGTTACAAGTTTCACCAGGCAGCAAACGGACAATAGCATCGCGTTCACCTGCGAAGTTTTCGTTAAAAGCAAACTTCACTCAAAAAATAAAAATCATCTTTAATTTTTGCATTTACATTTTAATTTATTTACATTTATTCATTTAGCAGACGCTTTTATCCAAAGCGACATACAACTGAGTAATAGAATAAACGATTCTTCATAGAGGCAAATGAACACAGAAAGTGCCCGTAATACAAAGTTTCAGACATCGCCAGATTGGAAAAGATTAAGGAAAAGTGAAAGCATTTATATATTTATATATATATATAT